CAGGAGCACTGCTGATCCTGAAGAAGTTCTCTTTGGGTTGATCTTGTGAAATATTTTATATTTATTTTCCTCAGCTGTGTATCTGTGTTTATATCTGTCCAGTTAAAGTCCACTTCCTGGTCACTGGAAAAGCCCTGGGTGCTGACCAGGTGTTCAAAGACAAGCTGATGAAGAGCACTGGGATTGAAGAGAGCACTGAGGAAGAGTGTGATGCGCTCGTAGTCTTCTGTCCCGTCAGCTCTCGGATAGGGACTGACATCGACGCTGCCCTCCAGAACATTCCAGGTGAGGGGTTATAAAGACATCAACCAAACCTCACACTAACCCCACCTCAACTTGAACCCCAACTCTGACACAACTCTGACACAACTCTGACACAACTCTGACACAGCTCTGACAGGGCTGTGACACTCTCTCAGAGCTCTGAGGTCCTACAGCTCTGCTCTCAGAGGACAGGAGAGTCTGCAGGTGCTCAGTCAGGACCCTGTCTCTGTCTCTCTCCACAGGGGACAAGCCCGCCGCCCTGGTGGTGATGCACCACACCTACGACCCCGAGGCAGTTGTGGCTGAGAGCAGCAGACTGGTGACCAGGAGAGACACAGTGACTGTGGACTGTCTGTTCCATGAGACAGCGGGGCTGCTGGACAGCTGTCCCATCAATGAGCAGGCTGTGGGTTCAGTGCGTGACATGCTGAGAGGCTTACCCACAGCTAACGAGTAAGCACCATCAGCGTGTAACACAGTTAGATAGCTCAGAAGAGTTTCAACGTCGCAGGAATCTGCAATAAGCCAAACTAGAATTTAATTGAGTGCAGTCTGTCTGAATGCTGTCAGCTGATCTTGCTCTAAAACCTTGATTATAACAGGAAACGGATGAATTAAATTCAACATGAAAGAGGATGTGTTTAAGCTCATCGACTGGAAATCAAGGATCGACTCTGGGGAATCTGTAGCAGAACGAAGGGTCAAACATTTTAATTCCATCATTAACGGTGAATGTAAATGACTCCCAACACATATCCTATTGTATTCCTGCCGACTGAAGATCAATAAAACATTAAGAGGAAACACACTGTGACTGGTGCCCGGGAGAGACACAGTGACTGTGGACTGTCTGTTCCACAGGACAGCGGGGCAGCTGTCCCGTCAGTGGGCAGGCTGTGAGACAGGTCTCTGATGGATTACTGAAATGTGTTCAGCCGGAATAAAACGCACTTTCAGTCGAAATTGACCTTCATGCAGCACTCCAGTGCTTTTGCCAGGAGGAGGGTTTTAATTGGCCTCGCTACCCGAGCGTGTTATTTACTGACAAATACGACGACCGCTGAGTGATTTAATTTAATTTATTTAATTCCGTAGATTAATAAAACATTTCTAGATCACAGAACTATAAGGTGGGGTTTTAGTCAATAACTGTCCAGGTCATTCCTGCCTGCAGAGCCTCCTGACTAAAGGGAGCTGTCCGCAGTCTGAGCTCCCCCTGGTGGTGGGGAGGACTGCAGAGCCTC